GGGTTGGTGGTGAAAGTTGGCAATACAACTTTTTGTTAAATGCACTACAATATAATAAATGACAGTTTAACGGTAAATATGAAGAGCAATGATTACAGGTAATTTAGTATTGCGATGATTTTTTAAAACAAATTTCTTTTGTTAGAATGAACATATTTGATGAGCGAAAACTGAACTTGAGAAAAAATATTTTTCAGAGAAAAGTCAACTACCCGAAATTCGTATTAAGTCTCTTTCCACTTTCAAGCTAAAAATTCATAACCTTACATTTTTGGTGTAAATACTATGTGCAATATGTTGAAATCGTGAGACTTCTTTCTACTTTTTGAAATAATTTTGAATTAGTTTGGGTGAAATCTTAAAGCACGAGGTTCCAAAATGTTAGAAGAGAAAGTCGGGTATACGTAACCGAAACAGAACCGGGTTTATATCCAATCTGAGACTAACCGCTGCATCCGACAGCATTTTCGAAACTTAATTGGCTACAACAATAACAAAAACAACTACGTTCATTACAAATTTTGATTTTTTAACAAATTGACCTCCATTTTATGACCTACTAAGGATAAATAATAAGCACAATTAAAAAATACATATATTTGAAGCAAGATACAAAACCAAGCTATATTTAACGAGTAATTTAATTGCATACAACTCGAAATAGAATTAGTTTTAAAATTTTAATTAATGTACCCAAAAAAATAAAACAATATTCCATAATTAGCATTCTTCCCCACCTGTTTTTTGCAAAAACAAATGGATCAGTATGCTATTTGCTATTCTTTTTCAAAACAAACCATATCGTTTGCGCATCTTAACAAGCCTGAAGAGTCTCGCGGACTTGGGCTTAGAGTTTTACGATTGATTTATTTACGTTTTCTTCAACTTTAAGACACAGAATAAAATTCGCATTTGCTTATTTATGCTCTGTAAGCGTGTTTGTACTTTGGAATTAGCAGAGTTGATAAAAAAATGCTTTGGTGGGAACCGAAAACAGTTTTGGACGTGCAAAGACTTGTTATGTTAAAAACTGGATTGAATTGGTAGAAATAATGCTAGAAATTAATAAAATATTTATGAGTGAGAATTTGCTTTGGAAATGATTGGTACGCATAGAACAAACAATTAGGAATATTTTTTTAATTTAATCGATTAAAAATTAACAAAAAAATAAATTTAAGTATAAAAAATAATAAAAAATATTAATTGAAAAACGTTCTACTTATTAGAAAAATTTAGTATGAATTTGAAATTTTGTTTTAGTAGAAAAAAAATATTGTAGCAGAAATTAAAAAAAAAAAATTATATTTTCGCAAAAAAAAAAATTATATTTTCGCAAAAAATAAAAAAAAAATTATATTTTCGCAAAAATTAAAAAAAAATATACTAAATTATATTTTTTCCAAATTATATTATAAGTACATTTGTAAAACAAATTTATTTAGTTTTATTTTATTTAATTTTATTTTTTATTTATTTAGAAAAACGTGAAAAAAAATTGTTTTTTAGTAAATAAAATATCTCTTTAAGTAAAAAAAATTAAATTTTTTAAATTGTAGAAATACACAAAAAAAAAAGTATTGTAAAAATATAAATAAAAAATTTATACGTCAGTAAGAATACAAAAAAAGTTTATTTTAGTAAATATTTACTAAATTAACTTCTTATCACATTATATTGTTTATAATTAGGTTAAAATTTGTAAAACCTTTTTAGTTGGTAGAAAAAAGCCATTCGACAAAAAATTGTAATTTAATAAAAAAAATAACTATTTTAGGAGAAAAATTATAATTTTTTAAATGTAGAAAAAAAAAAATTTAAATTGAATAAGAATATAAAAAAAAAAGAATATTTCAAATTATATTGTATATAAATTTGCTTAAATTTGTAAAAACTTTTTATTTAGTAGAAAAAACTTATTTGAACAAAATTGTAATTGAGGAAAGAAAAATATCTATTTTAGTAGAAAAATTAAAATTTTTTAAATTGAGAAATATAAAAAAAAATTATCAATCAGTTAAAATAAAAATATGTATATGTTTTAGTAGAAATTTAAAAAATATTTTTATTAATTGAAATTTTTTTAAATATTATTTTTTTACAAAAGTTCAGTCTCAGTTTTCTTTCACAAATAAGTATTATACCAAAAATTTACTTATTTAATAATTTTCACTCCTGAATGTAAATCTTTTTAAACAATATTTGTTTGTAATAAAATTGTTGCAAACTACTCTACCTTTTGGCTAAATACATATGTACATGAATAATTATGTATACGAATTTTTAACACACCTAACTGTTTGTTTGGCATTTTAAACACGCAAAACAAGCAGCAACAACAATATTATGAGTCAAACCGCCAAGCACACGAAAATGCATACATATTTACATACATATTTATGTGTGTGTGTTGTTAAATATTTATACTAAATAGACAACATTTGTTTTTTTTTCAATTTATATTATTTTTATTTATGTATAAAAACAAGATACGATAGACTTGGTTCGTGTTTGCATGTATGTGTATTTGATATGTTCTGCAAACAAATTTAAAAACTTTTAAACTACCACAAAAAGAAAAAAATACTCCACAAAATATATTGTCGGTTCTTAGGGTTTCAAGCAAATGATGTTTATACATAAACTGACCATAAATGAGTGTGGTGCAGCACAGAAGAAGCGTGTTTATAGCACATTTATTTGCATGACCATATGAATCTATCAATATCTCAATACATATCTGTGTGTATGTGCTTTGCATTTATTTTTCGAAATCACTTTTTATTGTTTCTATATGTTTTAGTAATTGTTTTGGCGTGTGGCCAAATTAATACGCAGCCACACTTATTTTTCGTTTGTATGTAGGCATGTGTGCGCGCGTTTATTAACCAGCATAAGCAATGCTCGGCCCGCTAATTATGACGTGTATACAAGTATTCGCAGTGATGCGAAATAAAAAGATTTTATTTTGAAAATCTCATGAATTTAAGCGTGTAGCAACCAATAAACGCTTGTCGTAGCCGCCAAACGCCGATGAGTACAGGTAAAAAGTTGAGTTGGTAACAGACGAGCCATAGATGTTGGCGTGTTACCAGATAATATATAATATATTATTACTTTATTATATTTATTACTTTTTTGTTTTTTAAATCTTTTTTGGTTTTACCGTTGTTTTTTTTTTTTGTCTTTTTCTTTCTGTTTTTTTTTGTCTTTTTTTTTTTTGTGTTTTCCTTTTTTAATCTTTTATTTATTTTTTTGTTTGTCTTAAACTCGTGATGCCCGGATCCTAGATCAGTGTCTCATAATTTAAATAGCATTTGACATGTCTAGCAGCCACAAATGAAAGTGAAGTGATCAACATAGTCTAGGTGCCAGTCTAATCATTCGAAGCGTGGTTACAAAATTTGAGCAAACACTTTTTAGAACTTACTTATAGATCTATATATACATATGTATTTATGTATTATAATCTGGAATGCCCGTTTCTTATCGCGGGTTAGTAAGACATTTTTTAAAAATAATTTAATTTTTAAAATATATCTGCCTCTATATTTAGGTATGTACATATATATATTTCTGACATGAAATAGTTGTGATTCAATGCAAATAGTAGAAGATTAAAAAATCATGAATGCGTCAGGCAAAAGTCACCAAACCAGAACAATCATGTTGCCACCAAAGCGTACGAGTACATTCAAATAATTTATTACGCGAAATTCGCATAAAATTTGGCACACATTATAATAAAGTTCGACTATTTCCTGGCTAAATAATTAGTAAATACTTAAAACAAAATAAAATAGAAAAAATAAAAATTTATTTCCTTATTCTGTAGCGCCTTGCACTGCAGTAACGTTTGTTTATCTATGCAGAAATAACTAATAACCTTAACAACAATATTGCAACGAAACGCCCGTTGCAGCCTGCTGCAAATTTTTAGTTCAAGGTTCTGAGGTATTTGTGCTTAAATTTTTATGATAATATGATTGAAGAGAAAAAAACACTTCGGGTTTCAAAAATGCTCTACAAAGGGTTGCAAATTTTTTTTGATTAAAAGATTTTGAATTAAAAAATTTTGAATTAAAAATCAGATTCTTAAGTTTTAATTTACATTTTGAGAGAAAAATTAGATTTTCAAACTGGGATTAAAATTTGAATTAAAACTTTTGCATTTAAAATTAGATTAAAATTTACTTTTTAGTTCCGAAATCAGAATTACGAATTGGTAAAATATAAAACGTTTAAATGTGTAAGTTTGCCGAACACTGATCTATAGTATAGAATATGATGGCTCTTTGCGCGCTCTAGCCTAAAATAATTTTTGTTTTAATTTAATTATAAAGTTCGAATTCAAATTTCTTTAATTTTCAATCCGCTATTTGAGATATAATATTTTTTGTTATTCAATCCGGTTTTTGTGATTAATTTTTTCCGGTATTTGGGATTAAAAATCAATTTTTAATTTTTCAATTCGGCATGTGTTATAAAAAATTTGAAAATTACTCTAAATTAAGATTTTCGCAATTACATAAACAAAACAAAAATAGTATCTAAATTTTAATTCAATTTTTTTTAATGCATTATTTGCAACCCTGCTCTACAGAGCATTAAACGATACTAAATTCTTTAACCTCGCAGTTTTAACGCATTTCTTATATTAAAATGTGCTCAGAAATGATTCATGCACGTTGAATATCAAACAAATAATATATAATCAGAACAAATTGCCATATTTTTGCAACAAGTAAAAAGTTTTAAATAATAAAACAATAAAAAAAAATTAAAAAGTTACAGCGAGCATCAAATATACACTAAATATATTATTTAATTTAAGCATAAGAAAATATAATAGTTTTGGTTTTATTTATAAGTTGTTAAAATAATTTTATTTTTATTTATTTATTAATTTTTTTTTTGGTTTTGGTCAAATCGTTATCAGCGTTTGCGACTTAAATGGGATTTAAATGATTTTATTTTTATATAATTTGTTTGTTTTTTACCATATATATATTATTTTATGTTGTAGTATATTTTATACGCTTTCACACACAAGCATTGCTTTTTATTTCCTTAGTAACAAGCAATAAATATTTTCACAAAAATAACATAAGCATTTCAACACCAACAATTTGGCACACACTTGGAACACATTTTAACGCATGAATTTTGTTTAATGTTTAATGTTGAAATCAGTGCATATATTAAAAATATTTGCAAAATATTTCTTTGTTTTTAGATATTTTTTATTGCAACTTATTTTCCTTTTATATATAGAGCAAAGTTTATTTAGTACACTTGGCGAATTCGCGTGCCAACCACAACTGATGCCAATCGTGTAGAAACACCAGCCGCCTCAGCTTGCCACAACAACGCGCACGTTTAGCCACAACCACATTCACAAAAAAAAAAGCAAAAAAAAAATAGTATTAATAAAGCTTACCACAACCGGCAGTGACGAATAACAGGCTAAAACAAACGACAGCAAGCGCCATGGCAGTACAGTACAGTGTGGCAAAATGGCATGGTATTCAAACTAATTTAATTTAAATAATAATTAAATAAACTCAGCTCTATATATACTTTATAGAGTCTGCGACGTTTCACACTTCGAAACAAACTTAACGCCGTTCATGGTATACTAAACCAAGCTGTGAGAAAAAAATTAAATATTTGCTCGATTCTCCATATTGATTGGAAAAAATTGGGAAAATTAATTTTAAAAATTTCCATCGCTTTTACAAATGGCACATTCGTTACACTGTTTAATTACAGCGCGCGAGATAAAATCACGTCAACTGTCCACTAGTTTTGAAATCGGCTAGCAAACTGGTTGCGAGAACAGCTGGACAACATGCTGACCAGACAGCCACTTGATTAGCCGGTCATGTGTGTACTTGTAAATGCCAAATGTGAGAAATAAAAGTTCGTAGAAAACTGCAAACAAGTTTCAGCATAAAACAAAACTTCGCTGAGTGGGCGCTGCCAACAACACAACTCAAACAGAACAGCGTTGAGTCATCTGTGTGTCTGTGTAAGTAACGAAGTAAAGCAATAAATTGGAATGGCGATCAGTGGTCCATGGCAATAAATAATTAATTGCTTTATGCTGACAACAACAAGGCAGTGAGTGATACTATGGCTTTGGTTTGTGGTACAACATGGCGTATACGTGATTAACTGCGGAACAGTGATAGGGGCTTCTAGTGTTTTGCTGATGTGCTTACATATAAAGTGTTTCGACGAAATTTTAACTATATTTTATTTATGTATGTGGCAAGCAATATTGGATTTTGTGGCAACACTTTTACGCCTTGTAAAAGACAAATTGCGAATAATTCATGTTGAAATTTGGTTACTAGGGACATTAATTTGAGACAAAAAAAGTTTTTAGCAATAATAGCAAAAATCAGTAGGATTTGACGAATAATCTTCAATTAGGCAAATCAAGGTGCTTCTTATAGATTTAAAATAGATTTTATCGCCTACTATCAACATTTCCGCGTGTAGCTTAAATATTGCGCAAACTTGCTACCTGGTAGATATTTAATGACAGTCACGTGCTTCCCACTTACACGCAAAAGAAAGATGTTTATGCAACACATTTGGGACATACATTGTATGCGCTCTGGCCGTACATAGCATAGTAAATAGCTGTGATAGTGTTCACAGCTGTGATGTGAAATGCAACACAAAAATCGCATGCAACACGCCAACGGCCATGTAGGATATTTATTTGCCCCAGAAATGTTACATAAACAGCTAAATTAACTTGTATATACATATTAGGGTGAAGTGAAAAAAAAAGATGTCTAGATGTTAAAAAAATTTTCCTTTTTTATAATCTACAAAGTTGATCCTCAGGCTAAGCAAAATATTTTTTTTTCCATCCACCCTTATACATATATAAATATTGTATTTATATACATATAAAAATAGAAAACAAATATTAAAAACAATTTTTTTAAGAGGTTATATCCACTTGCAAGCCAGAAAAAACGAGATTTTGTAAATTTTTGGAAGAAACATTTTATATAATAAATATAAAATATAACAAGACAAACCGTTAACTTTGATTGCATCGAAGCTATACTTGTAATACCCTTCACATGTGCATTTCTCATACCATAAAAGGGTAAAAATGATCTTTATCTTGATTTTGATCGGTCGGTATGTAGCCAGCTCTATGTCATAAGGGTCTGATCTGAATAATTTGTACGGAGATTGTAGCGCTGCCCTCGATAATGATATATGCAAAATATCGTAAATATAATTTGTTAAATAAAAAAAGTTTGTTATACCATGACTTGTTTGCGATCGTTCAGTTTGTAATGCAGCTACATATATGTCATAGTAGTCCGATAGCGGCGGATAAATGAACAGCTTTTTGGACGAACATAGGATGTGTACAAAATTTCAGATCAATAACTGAAAAACGGCGGGACTAGATGGCGTATATATAGTTGGATAGACTCGGCACGTTATTTTGAAAATTTTTTGATTTCCTAGATACCGTAGCTGATCTCCAAGAGCACCCACGAAAAAAGGTGTGTCTCATAAGCTATTTATTAATAATTTTATTATTTTAAATATTTATAAGTAAATATATATGTACATATTAACGTAGCATCATAAAAATTAAATCAATATTTATACCCTGAACAAGGTATATTAAGTTTGCCATGCAGTTTGTAACACCCAGAAGGAAACGTCGGAGACCCTATAAAATATATACATAAATGATCAGTATGATGAACTGAGTTGATTTAGCCATGTCCGTCTGTCTGTCTGTATATATACAAACTAGTCCCTCAGTTTTTAAGCTATCAATCTAAAACTTTGCACCTGTCCTTTTCTCACTAAGAAGCTGCTCATTTGTCGGTACGGCCGATATCGGACCACTATACCATATAGCTGCAAACTGAACAATCGTAATCAAGTGCTAGTATGGAAAACTCTTTCAGTTCACGAGGTATCTTCACGAAATTAAGCATAGAATCTTATTTAAAGCAATAGTGCAAGCTCCAAAGAAATTGTACAGATCGGATGACTATAACATATAGCTGCCATATTAACTGAACAATCGGAGTAAAGTCCTTGTATGAAAAACTTTTTCATTTGACGAGGTATCTTTCCGAAATTTTGCATGTATTATTATTTAAGGTAACAACCTAATTCCCGAAGAAATTGTTTTGATCGGATCGCTATGTCATACAGCTATCATATAAACTGAACGATGGGAGTGAAGTGCCTGCTTGGAAAAAAATTTTATTTTTTTTTTGCCGATTCACGAAATTAGATTTGAATGAAGTTATTATAAGGAACCTTTGTACCTGTGAAGGGTATTATAGCTTCGGTGCAACCGAAGTTAACATTTTTTCTTGTTTTTAATAAATTATATATTTCGTATGTCACCTCTATTTAATCTCGAACCAATTAGACGCATATTATAAACGATTAAAGCCCACCAGCAACAGTTGCATAACCGATTAAAATGCAAAATAAAATCATTAACAAATTTTTAATCAATCATGTGTGAGCATAGTGTAAGATTATCAGCTTCGGTTCCACAAAATAGCGGCTATTTTTCACTTTGTAATATGAGTATTTTTTTTCAATTGCATGCAAATTTTTAATGTTTTTATTGATAATATTCCGTTGAACTTTTGTGTTACTATGCATTCGAGAGATGAAGCAAGAGATTTGGAATTTCAAAAAAAATTAGCAACTGAGGGAATGCGTAAAACATAATAAATACCAAAACAAGCACGTTTAAACAAAAAGAAAAAAAACAAACATTGTTTGAGTGTATGTATGTATGTATGTATGTATGTGCGTGATCAGATCACTTGAGATGTGAATGAACACAAAATGCTCATAGCGCCATTAATGGAAGTGGTAAATTATTTTTAGAATGCATTAAATGTGTCAGCAAGTATTGGTATGAACACATTTGTTTCTTTGTACTATATTTGTACAAAAATAGCAGTAAAATAATTCGGTTGAAATGAAGCAATAAACAGCTACAAATATTTCTTAATAGGCATGTGATAATAATTTAAAAAATAATTAATTTCATAGAAATATGACACAAATAACGCGTTTAGGTTCAGCGGCGTACAAATGTTGAATCGATTAGCTTTCAGGAATATTAGAAATGCATTAGTACATACATACATACATATTATTTTCGCAACAAATCGGATGTAGAAAATAAATAATGGACGTGATAACAAGCAAGTACTCCTTAAGCATTTATAACTTATTTAAAATACGTTAAGACTCATTTATTTGTGTAGCTACTGTACACAATTATATTATGTCGCATTGAGATTCGGTTTAACTTTTCATCTCTATTTGAATCACACAGTTTCCATACAAGAACTTGATTATATCGGTCAGTATGTATGGACACTGTTATATGAACATGTTGAATGCGCCGAAGACATATCCCTTACAATAGCTTTTGGTTCCAGCAAGATGGAGCAACCGCTTACATTGCCAGACCGGTTATTGCGGAGCTCCAACGAAAATTGAAAACAAATTAATATCAAGAAACTTCACTTTCCGGTTGCCCCCAAGATCACCTCACCTGGCCGCAATGAATAATTTTCCAATTAGGTGTCGCATATGCTTGGCTGAGCATGGAGGTCATTTATGGTCCATCATTTTAAAAATAATTTATTATATGAAATAACATACAATAAAAACAAAATGTAATGCATTGATAACAAAAAAAAAATTATTACGGTTTGTTTTTGTAGCACGATTCGTGAACCACACTGTATTTGAAATAATAAATTATATCTCTGAAACAACACCCTTTAATTTATTATCAGGTTTCTTATCACCGGCATTCCGTATATAAATACTGCCAACACATTTAGGAAATTATGTATGTATGTGCACATGAAAGTAGGAGGCAGTGCGCATTCAAAAACAATATCTTTTAAAATATACGCTTAATTCATGTCGTTCAATCTGAAACCATGAAAATAAGCAAAATAAAATCTTTACATTTGTTCATATATAGAGTACACTTGAGGAAGTTGGATTAGCATTTGACAAATTAATGCAATATTTAGTACACATTGTAAGAAATAAATATATATAAAGTGTATGTTAGTAAATCTGAATAGTTTAGAAGGTAGTCACGTATATTCTAAGTTTAAGTGAGCATGTTTCGATCCAAGCTCTTAAATTTACTTTAATTCCTAAATCTCTTTTAATTGATAACAGAAACATATCAGAATTTAGAAAATAAAAAACGGCACCACAAACAATATTTTTAACGAATACAAAGTTGGTGGTGACGCGGCCGATTAAACGGACTGTAGAATATGTCTACGTTTCTTTAAATTAATGAACCATATCGTTGGCTGGTTTGAGTACTGCGATACTCCATTCGTTTTCTTTTTTTTGTATTAACCTTCACTATATAGACATTTGCAGCCTTTGTCCAGCAGCCAGCTGTTTGCTTTGTCCATTGATTTTCATATGAAGTCGTTGAAATCCACATACACAAAACGCAAAACAACAAAAAATATATATATTCCGACAACGTTCTTTCAAAACTTACCTCAGATGGTGACATTGATGACATCTTCTTCACGTTTTAAACCTATATTTTTTAACTGCTAATCTATGGATTGATCTTTCCGATTTTCCAAATGTGTTTTAAAATTATTTTTTCGTATTTTTATGTTGGTTTGTAATAAAAATTTCTTAAGTCTATTTTAATTGTTGACAATCACGAAAAATTTCCCATTTGACAATTTGCTTTATTCTACTGATTGTCATTGCTAGAGATGTGTAAATATTACTAAATACAAGTTCGATTGTTGTACATGGAAATTTCGAAAAATAAAAACTTTTTTTGAAACTTAGTAATAGTTTACTTATGCAAATAATGAAGAAATACTAACTAGTATTCCGTAATATTGTTTCTTGCATGCCAGTAAATACAATATAAATGACGACGTCGGCGACAAGTTCGATTGTTGTCTATGGAAATTCCAAAGAAACTTTTTATGAAACGACAGAATGTACTAATTTTTGTAAAAAATGATAAAACGTCGTTTCGCATTCTACCTCATATTCGTAAAACAGAATACAAGACACAAATGAATACCTAAATTAGTTTGGCCTAACAGTTATCTTTAACTTTTGACATATAAAATTAGAAAAAAGGCATATTTTATCGATAACAAGTTGCAGTTCAGTTAGATATTTAAAGTGAGTCATTTGTTAAAATTATGAAACTGTAAAATATTACCAATCAGTAATGTAATGATAATTTCTACCTTAAGAAAACTAGAGAGAGTTAAAAAATTAATAATTTGATATTTATTAAACTGACAGCTGTTGCAAATGTATATGGCGCCATCTAGCGGTTGATAGCAAAACAATAGAAAGATTCAGGAAACAGTGCTGCCGTTGTCGTATAGAAAAAAAGTAGTAGTGGTACTAATAATTATTGTTGTTGGACAAGGTACCAGAAATACTAACGCAGACACCCCGCATTAATATTCTTATTTTATTAACTGACAGCAGAACAGCTGTTTTAACATATATTCCCAATTTAAAAACGGGTCTAGATTTTTACTGTTAAAAACAAAGTTTATATAATATATTATACAGAAGTTGTTATATGTAATAATATGCACACATATTTTATATATGCATAGACATATACAAACATATATATCGTCATAACAGACATCTTACATAAGTGTGTACATATTTCACCTACATATGTACATTTACGAAGTAATCTCATGGTTTTGCCATTACAATTTACTGTTACCCGCCAAAAGATCGCGAGCGATTTTCACAGCATACTTCGCGGTGCCAGGTGAGGTAGTAACGCCATAGCCACCATGACCGTAATTATGCACAACTTTCTGGGTGCGTCCATTAGCCAAACGAAGGATCTCACTTTCGACGCGCACCTACACGGACAAAAAAAGCAAAGCATGTGTTAGTGTATAAACACACGTTTTTGAACATAAAAGCTGTAGAACTGAAACTCACCACAGCGCGATGTGGTCGCAATCCAACAGCCTCGCGCACCACCTCGGCTCGCTTCAAGCTTGGCAGCATGCCATAGCAACGCTCCTTGATCGCCATCGAATCGTATTTGCAGACATTCAAATTGAAGCTGTCATATTGACGACAGCCGCCAAGTGTGACCGCCTCGAAGCCCGGCAGAATGTAAGTGTCGTAGTCGCCATAGAAAGCCAGCTTGACCCATGGTGCGCGCACTTTCACAACCTGACCACGCAGCGGTACTAGTTGAGCATCTTTGCACAGTTCTTTTGCTCCCAAGCCAGTGCAATTGAAGAGTACATCGAAGTTTTGTTGTGACACGTCCGAGAATGCGTTAACACGTTGGCGCGTGACTTGGCCTCCAGCCGCAATAAATCTGGTAAAATTATAGTTATATAATATTATGGTAATCTGAATATTTCTGTAAGACTAGTAGATCTAACCGATTTACGTAAGTTGTCTAGGTTCTCAATGAACCTTTCTACTAAGAATATTTCATGTAAGCCGTTGTAGGAGGTTAGACCTTAAATCTAAGATTTAAGGTTTAGAGTGTAATTTACTTGTGCAAGATATCTTCAGCTGAGCTGAACAGATTATGACTCCACAATCGTAAAAATAGATAGTTTCTTTCGATCTGGGTGCGGAACACATATCTGCTTTGAACCCCAAGTAATGTCACCGGTTATCCGTAATATTAGAACCTAAACTTATTGGCACATATTGTCAGTAATGTGGGGATATCCATACTAAAACGAATTTAACGAATAAAATATGGAGAATCTTCAATCCAAAAAACTTGGTATATCTTAATCTTTCGATATAACAGATTTCTTGATCCAGTTCGATAACTTTGAGCAGGGGAAAATAAAATACTTTTGCACAGAATAGCTCTTGAAATATATAGAAATGTAAAGATTTCCACATTGCAGTTACCATATTTTAAGGACCACATATTTTTACCGCGGGTTTTAGGATATATCTAAGAGATGAAGATATAATATATAGAAAATTTTTGTAAATTTTACTTCTTTGTTGCATATGGCAGGAAGAGTCGGCATTCGGTGAGACAAGTTGTAAAGAAAGACCCATATTTCCAATCACCCTGACACAGCTTCAATTCCTCCTCAGTGGCTTGTCGGTAAACCGGTAATAACTTCTCGATGAACGCGTTCTAATGATAAAGAAATTAAATTATAAATTGATTATAACAGAAGAAGCGCTATCAGCACAGTAAATATTGATAAGCAATGAAGAGAAATGTAATCAATTTACAAGGTTTTAAAAATCTTAATTGCAATGACAACAGTTAGAATACCAAATGAGAGAAGTCGATTACAATAATATATTTTATTTACCTAAAGTAATAAATCGGATTAAATAAAATTTAGCATACCTGCACGATCTTCGGTGAGGTGGAAGAGTAAATATAGCCTGAGAGCTGACAAACGCCTGCGAGCGGTGCCTCCTTGGAGCGCCGTATGTCGTCCCAGTAACGGAAGGCGTCCGCAATCCATTGTCTGCGTAAATGCATAATATAAGAAATATATTTTCACAACCAATACTTGGCAATAATTTACTGTGTAATCTGCCTGGTTGGTCCCGCAAAGCTTGTGCCTGGTCTAAAAATGCCAGCCGCTACATGACTGGTTGTCTCCTCGTTGAAACGATCGGCGAGTATTGTGATCTGCGCATTTGGATAATTCTGCTGCAATTCCAAAGCGGTTGTCAGGCCCACAACACCACTGCCCAAGATGCCAAAATGCATTTTGAATACTTGTAATTACCACAATTAAGTTCACCGTGCAAAATATAAAGTGAAAATGATCAACGATCAACGCGCCACACTCAATGATAGCGACTATACTGATGATCCCCAACTGAGCGTGAAATAAATATTCACATCATACTCGGTTTGGTTATCATTTATTGTCACAATTCGTTTTGAAATTTAAATTGATTATGCTCTTGCACTCTGTGTGCTCTTGTGTGTGTATGCGTGAGTAGGAATTCAGTTGAGCACCACTCAAGCGCTGTTCTCAGCTCTGTTTGTTGTTTTTGTTTTTTGCTTATCCGCCACTTGATTTTTTTTTCAGTCTTATCACAACAAATCGTTAGGGACTTCAAGCTTATACTATTCAGACATGTAGAACCAAAAGTGACTACTAATTCATTAACATGCTTATTATAACTAATGAGCTACTAAATATTTATAGACACTGTAAACCAATTAGTGCTTTGATAGTCTTTGAAGTATCACTGCGAATTTTAAGATTGCTGGCAGACCTATATTTAAATTCTTGATGATTTCACAGCGTTATGAAATAGAAAGGCTCGCCTTTTCAATTCAGGATGAAAGTATTATTTTATTAAAGTCATTATGAACGTCATATACCCGGTTGACAAATTGTATTTGAATTATCTTGTCTCGGCCAATAATTAGAGTAGCAGTTTCTATTTGAAGTTTATGGAAAGAATAAAGATATTTACACGGCTTCAATGTGCGCCATTAGCGACTATTTTCATATCAGATTGCAACTGCGGCAACCCTGATATATACGCCTATTTACATCACATCAAATAAAATACTCTAGCTGCCTTTAGGGGTGTGAACTGGAATGGCTTTTTATGCAAATATTTAAGATATCTATGAGATACAGGCATATATCCCTCATACTCATTTCAACCAACTTATTTGTCAGCATTTCCGATATCGGACCACTATAGCATATAGCTGTCAATGAAATTGATTGGTCAAACTGAAGACCTTGTATGAAAAACTTTTTTATTTGACGAGATGGCATGGGCAAGGTTACCATCTCCGAATATATTGCTTAGCTAATATCATTATACCATATAGCTGTCATATCTAAATATAAAAAAATAGTGACTGATCAGGACCAAAATAAAGAACTTCTTATACCCTCTTATGTTATAAGAAATGCACTTTTGAAGGATATTATAGCTTTAACCAAATATGGTGTACTGCTCAAAAGCTTTTAAGGTGTGAGCTGCAATTTCCTCTTTGTCCTAAATGTCTTCTGTTTACCTTTCAACGACTTTTCTAACATAAATCGGATATTTTCTTGTTCCACATATACTCTGTTCGTGTAGCCGTCAATACAAACACAATTTTAATGTTATATAAATTTTTCGCATGAGCATTTTTTTATGCTATTACATGGATGTACCTATACATAGCTATGTATATGTATGCATGTTTGTCTGTCTATGCCCACTTGTAGTTAACGTGTATCGGATTTCCTTCAATGTACTTCAACTTTGATTGAAGCCCTTCAGCGTAGCTCTTCATTATAATTCGTCATCATTATACCATCAGCTACACTCGAACGCCCACACAAAATAATGCATATCGGAATATATTGTTATTTGTGAACCGAAAGGCATCTAAACAAATATGTATATGTATACATGCGCTTAGGAAAAAGCAACGAAAAAATGTTTACACATATTTACTGCAAATATATATATATATTCACAAAATTTATATAACTTGAAGCTGTGGGTAAAATGCCTTTACACACTTTTTAGATCATGCGTATTCGCTTACACATACAAATACAGCAAGCGCTGCACGAAAAAAACTTGGATAGATATTTTCTGTTTACCTTTGTAATCAAATGTGGCACTTTTCACTACGAAAACCAAACGGACTTAACGCTCCAATTCTTTACTTTTTGACAAAGCCTGCACACACACACATGAGCAGCCTGCGGACGACACACACACATGAGCAGTGTACAGTAAGGTGCGGAGTGAAGCACCGTATTTGACAGCTGTTTGAGTACGGTTGTCAAATGCCTGTATTAATCAGCCATATGTGGCCAGCTGCTTTGCTGTTAGCTATAGTTATACTAGGTTTAGGTAGGTAGGCATATGTGGCTGAATGGAAAGGCAAAGCCTACTATCAGGCGTTGTGCACTAGTCTGATGAATTAATGGCGCGTAAGATAATGTAAAACAATAAACATATCCATACACAGGCATACATACAATAACACAACTGCATGCACATATATCTGCACATTACCGTTAGTTGTGAGCAGTTAGTAGCGTAAGTGACGACTTGTCATAAGCACACTGCCAACTATTATATTTGTCAGCCAGCCAGAGAGTTGCGCTCATATAACCACAGTTTGCTTGTCAATTGCACGCACACGTAGTTGAAGCGAAAACTTACGCACATTTCGCCATATTGTGTGTGGGCGTAAAGCTGCCAGCTTCATGCGCAGAGCTGGGGAGAGAGTGGCAGCGCGAATGAGCGCTGAAACTTGCTTGATGTCAAATGTGGCTGATAGTGATAAGAATCACCTCTTCATTCTTTGAACATGTACGTGTAAACGTCAGTATATTATATCATATATAGCCGTATGTGTGTCTATATATGTATATTCGTGTTTATATGTTATACAGATAAAACTTGGTATGGCTTATTGTCTGACACAGTGCACTGGTGGTTGCTTTTACAAGTATTGCTCAAAAATGTTTTAGAAACACACAATTTTATGATTTTTGAATAAAATATGAGTTTTAGAAATTATCTTCCTAAACCTCGGTAATTATTTTTTCAAAAGATGAAATAAAGATATGCTCACGTTCGCTAGATTGAAATTTTAAAATATTGAATTCTATTTTTTCGAAAGAATATTGTGAATATATTGTCAATGAAACAATGGACTATGAACTAATGGTCTACCACTTGACTACAGGACTTAGCAGAGTTAAAGAAAATGTATACGATTTTTTAGCGATATTTGATCAATTATATAAAAAAGATCAGCATGATTAGCTAAGTCGATTTAGACACGTCTATCTGTCTGTTCGTTTGTCTGTATATAGGAGAATTAGTCCCTCAGTTTTCGAGGTATTTATCTTTAATAATGCATACGTTCTTTTCTCCCCAAGAAGCTGCTCATTTGTCGGAACCAAAAATATCGGATCACTATAGCACATAGCTGTCATACAAACTGAACGATCAAAAGTATGGCCGTGTATGGAAAACATTTTTATTTGTCGAAATATTTTCACGACATTTTACATGGATTATAATACAAGGCAATGCTATAATTTTCCAAATTTTTTTTTAGATCGGATTACTATAACATATAGCTACGATACAAACGGACCAACCAAATCTATCTCTTTATATGGAAAACATTTTTATTTGTCGAGATATCTTCAAGAAATTTAGCACGGATTATTGTCCTAGTCAAAAGTACAATCTCCGTAGATATTGTTAAGATTAAAACACTAAAGCATATATCTGCTAAGCAAACCGACCGATAAAACATGAAATTCTTGTATGGTAAAATTTTTGATTTGAAAAGATGTCTTCACGAAATTTGGCACTGATTATTATCTAAAGCCACGCTATAATCTTCGAACAAATTATTCAGATCGGACAACTGTAGTATTTAGCAGCCATACAAACTGAACGATAAAAAGTCAGATTAAGATCTTTTTATATTAATTTTAAATTTTTACGATTTACTTCAACGCACATTCTCTTTAATAATAGAGTGGTAGAAACCACTGTACCATATACGCAATAAAATACATGTAAAAATTGTGTGAATATAAATTATTATCTGTTCACGGGTCTACACACATACATGTGCACATTTTTAACTATATATTTTCACACACACACAAAATTTTTATTCAATGCTCCCATTCATTCCTTGGGAAACGTCCGATAACTCAGCGCATGCGTCAAATATATTTATTTTATAAACGAGTGTGTAGTCTCCATGAAGCTTACAAATTCGCTGCAAATTCGGCGAACTAAAGCTTGCTAGTTTTCATTGTTTGAGGTACCTTTTCGAGCGTATCATCGATTTTCACAAGTAACCGGACAAAGTGTAATGGCATATTTCACTTGCAACGCTACAAATAAAGTGGGTCGTTAAGAAAAATCAGTGTAGACAACGGAAAAGATACACAAAAGTTGCGTATACGCATCGCTACCAGATACTGTTATAAAGTTGTTGAAAAGAAGCTGTTAATTTAGTTTTACAAACGCTTACATTGCACCGAACACATAGCGAGGGGAGGCATTGGAGGTGAGACGCACAAACCAACTCGCCACCAAAGCGAAATAGCAGAGAAGCGCAGCGAAAAACGAAACGAAGAAGCAAACACATACAACAAACGCACAATTTGCCGTATACGCCATATACGCTTTGCTGCTCAGTGCCTCAGCAGCGAAACAGTCACAGTCAGCCACAGTGGCGAAACGAATTTTCCTTTAGTATCCTTACAGACGTGAAAAAAGGAGTAGTCAACGCAAAAAGTGGCAATAAACGAGCGTGCGGAGTCAAAGCAAAGTAGCTGAATCAAAGCATATACAGTGTTGTAGCAAAAATTTGTGCAAGCGCAAGTAAAACACTGTCAAAAAACGCGCAGCTTCTTTTAACATTAAGTGTAGGTGTGTGGAAAAAATTTCGAAATTTCCAAAATAAATTGCAAAAGTAGTTGAATAGGCCACAAAGCTTGCGAAATAGGTTGCTGCCGTGTAAGCGAAAAAAAAACTCAGACGCCAAACTCGCTTTCGACCACAAAGCGTCAAAAAATAAGTATACCAGCATAACTGTGTGTGTGTGTGTGCGTATGTGTATTTGTAGCAGCTGCCAATTACGAGCGACTAAACATTAAAACGCTAAAAGTTGATTACAAGTCTGTACATATGTGCATGTGTGTCGGTGTATGCATGTGTGTGTATGCGTTTCTTGGAATCGCAACAAATTGAATTCAATTGAGAACACTAATCGCGCAACGCCAGCTGCCACTTCTCAACTACAGCTAAAAGAAAAACCAAAAAGCAACAGCAACAGCAACAACAACCAACACGGGCACAAGCACCAGCGCCAGCTAGCAATTAGGCCAGCCTGAAAGCGCAGTAATAAAACTAAAAAGGTAACGCAAGTAAATAGTAAGCTTATAAATAAACACAGATCGTAGAGGCAGGTGCGATTTATTAGTGCAAAACACAGTGTTACAATGCAACAACACACACACACATAAAAAGAGAAAGTAGTGTTGCAAATAGACAATTGTACTGACAGACCGAGTGATGAATGGACGAATAGACAGTTCGAGGCAATATAAGTATAAACGTAATCATATGTAGACACAGACAGCTGAGTAGAGTAGAAATGCCAGCGCATGCAGAACACGCAAACATAACACATACACTCATACATACATATATATATATATATAAATATTCGTTTAATTTTTTATAGATATAGAGAGTTATAATAGCTTATAATAGCTGCAGCTGCACATACACACAAACACCCGCACTCATACTCATCTATGCTCATACCCAACCCAAATCCTGCGCGCTGTCCAGCCAGCCGCGCTGCGGCCAACCCATACACCTGCCAGGCTGCCTAGCTGCCTGACTTCCTTTTCGCTATTTTTAGCTGAAGAAAAAAATTATCGATTTGTTTGTAAGCAAGTGGCTGCCATATCAAGTGTCTATGTACATGTGTGTGTGTATGTACATGGGTGTGCTGTTGGAGCGAAATCGCGCACACAAGAAGTAATAGTGAGACAGTAAAAAATGAAGATGTCTTGAAATCATTGTATATCGACAAAAAGTAATTTTCATATAAATAACGGTTTATAATTGTATGTGCATGTGCGCTAAGTACTGTACCGTATGTTTTGCGCGCAGCTGTGCGCTGCCTAGGCATTTGCGACGCATTTGTTTTATTTATAGCAATGCAACGCGGTTGAGTCAGTGCGGCTGACCAGACTAGATGAATTTCAGCGCAACATGCACACACATACATATACGCATATATGTGAAATTATAAAAGTTTTGCATTGGGCGCCTAGGAGTATGCAATAAAAACGAAATGCAAAAGATTGCAAGTTAAAAGGAGTTAAAGTTTTGGAATGTTTTGAAGCAAAGATATCCCATAAGTACTGTTAACATTTGAGAAATAAATCTTAGGAGAATTTGCATGTTTGCATGGAAGTGTAGATAAATATAAGAGTTAATTTAATTTTATCATATAATTTGTATAACCTAAATTTACATATTAAAAATAGACACATTTTTCGTAAAAAAAATTAAATCTGAATCGAGAAAGTAATCTAAAAACAATAGTTTTCTGTTTCGATATGTCCTTATAGCCATTTGGTTTGATTCTTTCAATTTTCGAAATTTAATTTTCATTTAATTTTGAGTTTAGCTTAAAATGAAAACAATTAAATTTGGATGATTAAGAAGTCATTAATACAATGTAAGATTTTGTCATAATAGCTGCGGCACATTTAGTTGTTGAGGTTATGTTCGCTGTGCGCTTGTTCAACAACTTAAATATTTTAACCATTTCAAGGTCAGTGAATTAAAGGATATTATTTGCAACGCAAGAATCACACCTTTAAATACTGTGAGTGAAAATTTATTAAACTATATTCATAAGGCACCATAGAGTTTTGGTCGCAGGCAACCCTAAATATATTTCTATATATACTTGTACTCGAAATAAAATTCTGACGATCAGTATCTTTAGGCACGTATATACAGATAAGACGGTACTATACTAGTATATTTTGATATTTATTGTTGTTTCTGAATTCCGAAATTTCAAAATAAAAATTTTTGGAAATCGGATTATAACTTTACAAGCCGCCACATACCGAATATGCGAACCGTAGACAGTGGCAGACATTTTACTGAAAATATAAATCAATTTGTGAGATAAAATTAAGTCAACTTTTAGTATTGGATATATACTATATCCTCTGATCAAATTTGACTCGGACTGCAAAAAACAAATTGTTTTTAAAGTAGACTCCCAAAAACACTCAGACAACGATTCCGTAGCCGTGATGCCATTGGAAACACAAAATTTCAAGCAAACTCAAGTCGTGAAAAAGCAGTTGGTAAACACACACTAATTGACATATAGAGATCCAACTTTACACGAACATAAAAAAATGATACCAATCTAAAATTAGAAAAAATTGTATCGATTCGAATTGCGTGTGCGGTTTAAATAAACCTGTTGGGTTAGATTTGATCAGATGCTACATTATTTACCGAATAATAAATTTGTGCATTATGCATAAAAGAACTTTCCTTAAACCGAACCAATTATATATTCACTTAAAAGCTACTCTCGTTTTTATAAAAAAAAATTATTGCAAAATTTTAAAACAATTTATTTTGAAACCTTTCATACAGATATTTAGAGTTATGTAAAAAAATTTACAAATTATGTCTGAATATATATAGTATACTACTACTAAGGTAAAGGCACTCGTGCAAACACCAACGAGTTTTATTCACGCCACTTTTGTTCGCCAATTCCTAACTCAATTTCCCATTCACCCACACATTCATCATCGCATCAATGACACTTTCGGCATTTGTTTTGTTAGTAAGTAGTAAGGTGTTTCATATTCTTATTTCAGTTGACTGAATTCGCACCTCCATGTGGCATACGCAAGCAGCTCATAACCCATAAGCGCCTGAAAGCATTCAACACTTTTTCGTACTTTGTCACTTTGCTTGCAAACACGCTCGCATCAGCGTCATCACAATCGCCATTAATAGTCGTGAGCGTGCATAAATTTACGCTTCCATAAACATATACAAATATATAAATACATAAATAAATATATAATACAATACATTAGCAGACACTTAGCATACATACGCTTAAGCAAGACTGCGCTAAGGTGATAAAGACTACACTCCGCAAGTCAAACACGCTCAGCTTTTGCATAAACAACTTAAGCGCTAGAAGCAGCTTGAACTTTATTTTTTCGCCCAATTTGCTTCAGCGGCCTCAAAATACACATACAAACGAATGTAAGTAGTGCGCCAAGCAAGTGCTAACTAGCCATTTATACTAAATATTATGTATTGTAATAATGTTAACTAAATATTAATTAATGCAAAACATAAATTTATTTATTTGTACTTAAGTGTTATTATACCCTCATTAGCGTATTTTAAGTTTGTCACGAAGTTTGTAACATTTATATAAATGTTCAGCGTAATGAGCAGAGTCGCCATGTCCGTCTGTGTGTCTGTACGTCTGTATATACGCTAACTAGTCTCTCAGCTTTTGAGATATCGCTGTAAAATTTCACACAGCTACTCATTTAGATGAAATCGTCAATATCGCATATAGTTGCCATATGAAATGAACGATCGCAATCAAGACCTTGTATGAAAAACTTTTCTATTTGGCAAGTTATCCTTATGAAATTTGACGTGGATTATTTTCCACGGCAATGCTACAGTCTTCGTACATTATGTTTGGATCGGAACACTATAGCTGCCATACAAACTGACCGATCAAAACCAAGTTCTTGTATGGAAAACTTTTTTATTTGTTGAGATATCTTCACCACATTTGGCATGAATTATTGTTCAAAAAAACGCCACAATCACTGATCAAATTGTTCAGATCGGGTCACTATAGCATATATGTAGCTGTCATACAAACTAACCGATCAAACTCAAGTTCTTGTAATGCAATTTTTTTTTTGAGGGGTATTTGAGGGGCTTCACCGAAGCTAACGTTTTTTTTGTTTTCACTTTATTTGCCAATTAAAGCAGTTAAACAAATACAAACACACCCACATAGTTTTTTGAGTATTTTTCGCCGCAATTTTAATTCAAATCTATTTACTCATAACGCTTCCTCAACAGTTATTTCTTATACGTGGTTTTTGGCACTAATGCTACGAACAATTTCTTGTGTATGTGTGCAGGTGTGTGTGTGTACTATTACAAGTTGTTTGGTTATGAATTGGTGTATTTTCATGATATTAATGAGCCTGGTGAGCGCCGTATTGTCATTACATTTGTGTCGCTTGACTGGAAAATGAGCGAGCGTCATAGAAACCATTAACATTTGCTGCGCATGTGTTGGTGTGCGTGTGTGTTTAATGAAGCTGAAGCCCTTCTGGTAAAGCGCCTGCAGGGCAAATAATTAGCCGCTGAATAGTAAATTACATGTCACACATACATACCAACACATGCTTATGTGTATGTGACACCATCTAACATTTATCTTCAGCTAATTGATTTCGCTTAATTGGTGCAAGGCAAATAAAGCGGCGAGCACAAGCGCAGAAAGCCACAACTCAGCTACGTTGAGTATTCTTAAACTGCATGACTCTGAGTCTGAAGGGAAGTTCAAACAGAATTTTCTAAATACTAAATTAAATGCTCTTCTACTAATAACGACTTCCTTTTCGGTTGTGTGGATTAACAATATTGCATAAGAGTTCCACTCTCTGTTGATGAGAAGCTTTGATTGTGTATTGTATTCCACAAAATTTAGATTATTCCCACGAATCACATCACAACCGCTCCTATTTGACCGTATTTTATACCACCGATCGCTGCTTTCTCGGTTTTCTAACTCTGATTGCATAGACAATTTTCGCATTTTTAATTATTCTTAGAATACCGAGTAATTTTGGGCAAACACATCAGCTTTTAAGAATAGTTTATTATGTATTTTTACTCGCAATCTTTTTAATAAATGTTTGTAGTTATTCATGCTAACCTTTTCGTAAGTACCTTGAATTTCATTATATATTCAATTTATGAGAATACTTACTACTACTACTTTGTATATTGCTGAACAAAAAGTGTCATACAGATATATTCCTGAGAGTTATATTACTTTAGGATTGCATAAAAAATCATATTAATTTTGAGTGAGTATGGCTTGATGGCTTGAACTGAACACTGTCGCGCCCAGTTGTCCTGTTTTCTCAATATTTTACTGGAGTACTTTAACTTCCTTCTTTTATTAGTTGCACAGCTTTCGGATATTGACTTAAAATATCTAATATGTACATATGATATAAGATATTACTTTAATGTTGTCATGTCCAGATTCTCCTTCATTAAGTTTTAGGAAATATTATAATTATCGTATAAATACAGAATGAATATACATACATATGTGTTCAACTTTTTACAGTTTTTTTACTACCTTAGACTTACATTAGTTTGGAGCCACAAAGCATACAGTGTCTCGATGGTCATCGCCATTATTAATGGCGTAATTCTCAAATTCGTTCTAAAATGTGTAAATCTTTCTCAAAATTAATTCTCAGTAAAGTCATAAAATGGATGTTAGTCAACGCAGTTGCTAACTGAACATAGATAAGGCGCTTTAATATCAGTGAGAAAACATGTAGTTGCAAATATGACCTGTGAAATGCAACGAACTATTAAATGGTACGCAAAAAATACAATGGAGTCGAAAAAATACGTCCAAATTGATCGAAAGCAAGCCGGCAATAATCGTTTACATGACTTACAGTGGTGTGTTTAACCAAATATTTTTTTTAAAGAATCAAATTATTCCCCATTGAATTAATTTCTGACAAATCTCGGGACAAAAATCAGCTTCCGTTGACTATATTCGCTCGACTTGGCTCTCTGTGAAACTCGAATATCGCTCCAGAGAATGTCTTAAAGTCAATTAAGGCAATAATGAAGGCTACGCGAAGCCTATAATAAATTGCTCGGGAGTTATTATGTGTCAAATACCAGACTCTTAATCATATACTGTCTAGTCAACAGTCTTCAGATATATTGCTTTGAGCTAATTGGGTTTTTAAATTAGCTATTTTGAGTTCACTTCTCTAACTCTTAAGGAGAAATGAAGATGGAGCTATACTTACGTAGATGGAGCTACACCAACTGAGATTTTCGAAAATAATGGTAGTTTTTTCCAAGTACTAAATTTCTAGCAGTTCTGTAGGACACTGCTCTCACAGATAGGGTAAATTTTAATTCATTTATTAACCTCACTTAACTTCTACTCAAACTTTGCATCTAAGATATAATTACAAAGCAATAATTACAATTTAGATACACATTTTATCATGCTAATCAGAACAGTTACTTCCAATAAGTTTGTCCGTCAAATAAAAATCAACTCATGACTCGCTCTCTTAATTAGTCCGTTCGTTACTTTGACAGATGAAAGAGCGCAGTGAAATGTCAACTTCCCTCATCAACGGCATTTGTCTTCGAACAATGACACTTCTGGGTATTAATTAACCCCTGTGCTTAAGTATTAATGTATATAGAAATATGCGTAACCCAGATAACGGCATATGTTCACGAATATATACATATGTATTTGCAACTCTGCAGAAAGTACCGCATTGACAATTATACAACCAAAATATCACGAAAATCCCGCAAACACCACAACGAGCAGCAAGAAATTTATCTCCTGAGCTGAAAAGCAGTAACCACAAACAGGTGAAATAGTTAAGATACAGTACTAGGGGAGCTGAGGGTGGAGTTGCTGTATTTTTTGAAACCGTAAACAGATATATACATACATTCATATACACATACTATATATATATATAGATATATACCGTATCTGAAAACAGTGATATCGAGTTGATAACACAAAATTAAAAGATTCTCACAAATTCGCTCAGTATATATTATATATACATACATATAGAAATATTTGTAAGAAAACCGTTGCTCGGTTAACTTTTCACTGTTCACGAGAGGAAAATGGAACGACAAATTGTCACATACCAAAAAGCAGGACTGTCACAATAACAGCAACGTGCGTTAAAACAACAATAAATTAGCACGCCAACAGCAACAGCAGCAACAACAAAGGCGCATACATAGCTGTAGAGCACACTTAATGTGACAGTGACAACAGTAAAATCTCCAAATTGCGCCGTCAAAGCACAGACACACGCTTATACAATGCAGTTATGTATGTATATATGTATGTATGTGTTAGAGCGAGCTGAGCTGCATACGTAACTGCTGACGCAACATTAAGCGAAACTGTGCGCTGCCAGTGGAAAGAGTTTCGAGTTGAGGTAGGAGGACACGAGTTTCAATACAGAAAAGTGGAAAATACAACAATGAAACAACAAGAATGAAAGGAGAAAAGCTACAGAGGGGGAAAGTTAACAAAACCTATAGTAAATTAAACAAACTCGAGAAAACAGCTGCAAAGTGTTGTTGGAAATTAACAAACACATAACGAGATACAGATATTTTCAGATATTAAGTATAGTAAAAAAGAGTTCTCTGTAGGAAATATTAGGTCTAGCGAAAAGAAATCCATTAAATTTCTCAATACATGGCTTAAGTAATTTGTATCTCGCGTTATATAAATGCAATAGAGTTGCACAATATGGCATTCAAAAGACAAGATTTCGTACTAAAAACCTTTTAAATAGTTTTGTGATAACTGGACTCAATATTGTTTAGAGACGTGGCACCAAAAAACAATACAAAAAAATAAAAGCGAAAACGCAAGCCAAAAAGCTGAAAATGTAAACGGGTCCTAATACTGTAGATGTCAATCATGTGTCGTCGATTTCATTGCAGTAACTTTGATGTCAAAGATGCATAACGCTCTGGAAAACCAATTGGGTAAAATATCGATAAAACAATGAATATTGTTGAGTCCGACTTGCCGGTCGGCCCTGACTCGATTGCCAGTGAGCTAAACATGGCACAAAAGATCATTTGGTGCCACTTATATAAGGGTGGATATAAAAAGAAGCTCCATGTATGGGTGACACGCGAGTTAACACAAAAGACCTGATAGTCCGAATTTCCATCCGCATATCGCTGCTGAATTGCAATCCATTTCTGAAAAGGGTGATGAAAAGTGGCTCACACACGACAATCGAGGTGAGCTTGCGTCAAAAAATGCATAAATATATAAATGTATAAATATACCTATAGTCGCCCTAAGGAAACAGCCTAAATAAGACAGTAGTTTGGAATTATCTCCACTTTCGTCCAATGCTTGCGGTAGAGGAACATATTCAGATTCA